GCGAACGAAAGGTAACAAAGTAGCAGTGAATATTCCGCTGCAACCCTTTTGGTGCATATTTTCCCTGCAACTTGAAGGAGACACAAGGCACCATGTCGCCAGACGACTTCGATTATTTCGGAATTTAGTACTGCACAAAATCAGCCTACAGTCAGCACAAATCTGAAGCAATCGTTCCCCATTGTCCGTGCGTACCGAGTCCAATCCATGTCGACCTCCCACTTGAGCCTCATACGCTAAGCCTACCCACTGGTGCATTCAGATTTCCGGCTTTCACGATGTCTGAGCTTTTAGCTCGCCGAAGCAGGGTATTCATGACGTCGCAATACCTGTCTTTGACGGTGTCGGAGCTACAGTCAGTAGGAGCGTGAACAGACACGACAAACAGACGTCGATCAACTTTTCGCTTGTGGGACTATTTCACAGCCGTTGCCACTCGAACCGCACAGAGTCGGCTATCAACAGGTATCCAGTCAAGCAAGGATACTTCCGCCTGATGACTTAGGACGATACTAACCCATGCTAATTCCACCGCGTCAGCCTCTGGATCACCAGAGGTGTGTAGCCGGAAGGGAGCGAAGAGATAGGGCGGTTAGCTCAACCACTGAGGTTACATCTTGAATTCTTGTTTCTGATACGCAGCATACATCAATACCTAACGAGTCCAATGTGAGAGCAAGGGCAGCTTGTTGTCCTGCTTGTTTCAGAGTGCGGACATTGAAGATGGCCAGATAGACTGGGTGTTGAGGTTTGAAGATTGATTTGGAGGTGCCGGAGGATGTGGGTGCAGTGTGACGAGCAGATATTGCAAGATGAACGGAGTCATCAATCCTAAGTTCTGGACCTACAAGGGGAGATTAAATGATGGCGTGAGGAGAGGGGGATGAAAAGGTATGTGAAGGAGAAAGAAGTGAGGCGTTGCTTACCCGCCCTGCTGTATGCAGCGAGTAAGACGATCCGGCTGATGACAACACGCGACGGCCGATGTGGCGTGAGCTTATTGTTAGACGTAGGAATCATCGTTGTACGTGGGTCGGGTTACTGTCAGAGTGCTTACACCTGGACAGGAGGACGATTGGGGTCCTAAACCAAAGCATTTGGCTCAAAAGCCTGATCGCAAGGCAGCGGTATTTGGTGAGAAATGCAAATGCATTGCCGTTTTTATGGAATAAGTCACATGTTCCAACCCCCAACCTGGAGGACCAGGAGACTGCGTTTTCCAGAATTCCAAATATCAGGAAGGTCAGCTTCCTGAAAGCAACCACTGAATGCCCGGAATCTACGGAGACTCTCAGCATCGCTGGGTTTTGACCAGACAGACAACACCCCCTCAATATGCAGCGCGTCGCAACCTTGCATCAAACCCAGACGGCGCGAGTCAGCGTTGATCAAGGACAGACAACGCCTCCGCAATATGCAGCACGTCGCTGCCTCGTACTAAAGCCAGACCGCGTGCGTCAGCATTGGACCAAGTTCAGACAGTGTCCTTCCAATAAAAAGCTTGAGGCCGTTGTACTTTTCGCACTCGCACGCACTCGTGCTCTCGCAATTACTTTGTTGGAATATAGCTGTTGTGTTCCCTTCCGTGAGTCTTTTTCTCTCCGACACTAGGCACTGGAGCGGGTCAGTAGCAGATACCACAGGCCGGCGAATCAGCAGATATAACACCAAACATTGATTATGAGTGTCGCGGAGACACTAGTATAGCTCAATGGGTCCCTGAGGTGCGGAAACCGTCACTACGGTAAGTTCGAATCTCTTCGTGATGGACACGAATGGTCCGGGAATTCGTACGCTTTGGAAATGATTTAAGAATGGTTTTGACTGTTGTCTCTACAGCGTCCCGGATGCCTTGAGTCACTGAGCATTTTTATTACTGTTGGTACCAATGACTACCTAGTAGTTAACACTCTACTGTGATTTCAAAGTCATCGACACGCTGTTGGCACACTGATTCCTGACCCATAGCGGACAGGCTATGGTTTAGATCCCAGATCCCGCGAAAGCCCAGCGATGTGTGGAACTCCATCCTTTGGCCATGTGGGGACCTTTCGCCACCGTAAGAGCCACTCACTTCTTCCGCCATCACTAAGCACCAGCGAACTGTCTGCAGAACGGGAAATGAGTTAAACTGTCGACAAGTTTGTTCAACACCAACCCTGTCAAAAGTCCTTGGAAAGTAGTGAAACAAGTCATGAAGGAACATGTTCAACACAAACCGCTGCGAAAACTCCACCGAAATGATTTCGTAAAAGGCCATCTCTTCACTGATTTGCCACTTCCCCGCGAAGCGTGAATAACAATCAGGGTTAGACGCGTTACCAAAGAACTCATCTTTGACTTCACCGTACCGCTCGACTATGTAAACCACCCCACCTTAATCGCTTCCCTACTGAGTTACGGTGTAGCAAACACCCTGCTATCGGAATACGTCACTTTTTGGCTGGCAGGAAATGGGCCACCCGATTCTGCGAATAGAGCCCTAAATGGATTAACGGCACGAGACTGCTAATCGGAAGGTTCGTGGTTCAACATACCCCTGGTTTTTCGATTGCCTCTACCTAAGCTTAGGCAGTCCGACAGTATCCCAACTTTCGTACTTTGCTCGAGTTATACGGCATGCATGCACCACAAGAATGCCACGACTGATCCGGTATTTACTGTTGTTCTACCTGGGAGACCGTATCAAGTGGTGTACTTCAAGGATCGTTCACTCTATATAGCAACGGTCTTACCCGATTTCAATCTGCCCGAGTCTGATTTTCGCTAATGACCGGTAGATTAGGCACCGGAGCGATACGACCGATGGCCTCAGCTTACTGCAGCAGAACACTGACGCGCTGTAATCGAGCTGCAGTTAGACAACCTCTGAACGGCACAAAAACAAAATAACTCGCCAGGATGCTCGGGTGAGTGGTGAAGGTCAAATCGCAGGTCCTTTCACTGTACCAGAGCCTGGACGTCGCTGAACTGACAAGAGTCCCGGAATTTCGTGTGCAACTATTTTTGAAAGTTGTTCGACGTTCACAGGCTAATTTGAGGATACTATGGGATGCTGTTCTCGTGAAAACCAAGTAGTAGCCCATTCAACTAATTGAGCTCGAGCACGGTCCAATCAGGATGTAATCGCGCCAACAAGTACGCAGTGATTTGATGGTCATCATCATCGACAGCATGACATCAGTGTTCAACACTGATGCATCACTGCCGTACAACCATGATT